TTTCTGTCGAAGCACCTGGTCTACCCCAATATGGGAGGGAGCATACTGCTTCCCTTTTGCCTTTCGGCTCCAATCCAGGAGCCCTCAAGGGTCGTTGTCATGACAAACTATGTTTGCTGACAAAGAAATAAAGGAAGACTAGTATAGATCTATTCCAAGCTATTTAGCTCTCATCAGCTAGCCATACCCTTACTCGGATTTGAACTCGGGCTGCCTGCATATTAGGCAGTTGTATAAACCTCTGAGCCACAAGTTTTCCTCCTTTTATCAGCTGAGCCAGGAGAGAGATTAAGTGTTTTTTTTTCTGTTGAAGCACCTGGTCTATCCTAATATGGGAGGGAGCTGATTCCCTTTTGCCTTTCAGCTCCAATCCAGGAGCCCTCAAGTAGTCGCTATCATGATAAACTATTTTGTACCAAATTTATATTTGTGAAAGGTATACTCCTTCCCATATTGGGGTAGACCAGGTGCTTCGACAAGGGCAGTCTGCTTGTCCTGTCTGCCTGTCAGTATATTTGTATGCTTTCACTTATACATATAAATTCAATTCACTTTGCATGTCTATGAAGACTGCCCACAGGTCTTACCGCATTCTCCATAGAATGTGGATAATTCCATAGAATTGGTGCGTGCATAGTGCAGTTTTCAGATGCTAATCAGAGTTCATTGAGAGTTATTCCTAGTAAAAAGGATAGTAGTACCACATCCCTGCCCACAATGAGAAACTGAAAGTTTGAAAGGGTCTACCACAATGATGTAAGCTTTCTGTGAATCACTTGAGTAATTAACTAGAAAACACTTAAGACTTAGAGAGTTCAAATCTGCCTTGTAACATGAATCATAGTATCTTCTATCAGGGAAAATTACAGCTCCAGCTTCTAGAAAATCTGGAATATAAATTGTTTTCCACAGAAGAGCAAAGAATGCTGCCATCTTCTCCACTCAGGAATACACAATAGTTACCCTTTGTAGTTACTGGCATGTTATCATCATCAACAGCCATTCACTTGTGTTCAACCCTCACCCACTATGGATCAGCACTGCCCATGCCCCTCTGTCTCACACTGTCTCCTTCAGATCCACTATGATCATCCCAGTGCCATATTTCATCGTGTCCAGACAGCGGGTATCAGGGTGACCCTTCCTCCTTTTTCCGCTGATCATTCCCAGCATGATTTACTTTTTGAGTATGTCAGCTCTCATGACATGGCCAAAGTATGACAGCCTCTGTTTGGCTGGCTTCAAGTGATACCTTTGATGAAGTTTGGTCTAGGACTTTGTTTATTTTTGCAGTCCAAGGGGTGACTGGACAGCGCCACAGTTCAAAGGCATGATCTTGGACTAAATGCTAATGAGGGATCTTGGTCCCTCATTAGCTGGATTGGATAACACTAGCTACAGGGTAAAGTCTCTTGAAGCTGCTATAGATGCCTGTCTGTAGCCTTTAAAGGTAGACAATCTGTTTGATTTCCTTCTTCAATTTCTGACTCGGAAGCTTCAAGTGAAATTGAAACCAACTGCAGTCTTCTAATCTAAAGCAAAATTAAGTAACTCAGTAGCACTTATACTTATAATTTGTAATAGTTTATGATTTTTTTTTAAAGAAATCCTTTCCTTGGTCTCCTCAACCTCTGACCTTTGCCTTATAATGTATAAACAAAATATCCAGAGGGGGAAAAATTGTAATTAGCCTTATTATATCTAGCTGAGTTTTATCAAAGAAAGTTAAATGTATTCACAAATCTCTCTGCTTTGTCTCTACTCACTGCTCAAGTGAACAAATTCATGAAATCCTGGATGCAATGCTTAATCTTATACTACAGATGGAAGGCAATTAGCTAAGGTTATTAATTTACCATTATCGGGTTGCTTCTGCTCTTAATTAGCTGTAAAAAGATTGATAAAGGGGGCACTGAATGTCTGTACCCAAAGGAAGCCTATTAGAGAACAAGGGAAGAAAAGACAAAAACAAATGGAGTCAGTTGGGAAGCACAGGAAAGAGTTTTTATAAAGCATACTGACTTGGGCTATTTAGAGCCTAATATTTTTTCCTAGGCAAGGTTTTCCTGCGGGGTCTGGGAAATGTGTGAGTCTTATTAAGAAATATGTCAGAGAATACATATTAAGGCTGTATGCCCTTTTCTTTAATCACTTGTCCACCAAGGCACTACAGGTGTGTCTGTTTATTCATTCCATCCTGTTGTACAGAAGATCTTCCAAATAACAAACCAGAAGTAGAATTTCATGTCTTGGCCTGGCAAAAAAATTGAACATGTGCATTAAATAGCAGTGTGCTTCACCTTGCTGTAGCTTGTAGAATCCTCTCCATTTTTCATAGAACCAAAGTTCATAGACTTGAAAGTTACCTTCCATGTTTCCCCGAAAAGAAGACCAGGGCTTATTTTTTTTGGAGGGGGTCTTATTTTTTCCCCATGTATGAGCGGCCCACTTCTTCTGCTTTCTTGTGGCAGGGTAGAGGCTGTACTGCATGCTAGCACCACCTCCGCAATGTGGTGGCGTGGAGCTGCCCCATGCACCCTGCACCAGCTTACCTCAGGGCCTCCGCAGCCAGGCCACCCATGCCCTGACACCTGTCTCACCACATGGCCATGGCACCAGCAGCCCCATCCAGCAGGATCCTGTGTGGCCACCGGCCCACATTTTATGCTTGCTCATGACTGCAATGGAGCAAGATGCCAAGCAATGCAATGGTGCCATGACCACGAGGCGAGGGGGTGGAGCTGCCCCACATGCTGCACACTGTCTTACCTCAGGGTCCCCACACCAGGCCATCCATGCCATGACATTTGCCTTGCCTCGCGGCTGCGGCACCAACACTCCACTCAGCCTCCTGCTCTGTTGCGGCCATGAACAAGCAGAAGAAGTGGGCTGGCAACCACATGTGCTCCTGCTGCAGATGGCTGTCAGTTTTGCCACCACAAGGCAGGTGTCGGGGCGTGGATTTTTTTTTTTAATTTGATTTATATGCCGCCCTTCTCCGGAGACTCAGGGCGGCTTACAATGCATTAAGCAATAGCCTTCATACATTTGTATATTTATACAAAGTCAGCTTATTGCCCCCACAAACTGGGTCCTCATTTCACCTACCTTAGAAAGGATGGAAGGCTGAGTCAACCTTGAGCCTTGGAGAGATTCGAACCTGCAGTAATTGCAGGCAGCTGTGTTAATAACAGGGTGCTTTAGACCACTGTACTACCAAGGCTCTTTGGTCTGGCTGCGGAGGTCCCGAGGTAAGCCTTGTCTCATGGTTGCGGCACCATGAACAACCAGATGGAATGGTGGGGGGGGGGCAGCTGCTTAGGCTCATAAGTAGAACTTATTTTGAGGCTAGGGCTTAAATTAGGTGCATGAATAAAAACATGCTAGGGCTTATTTTTGGAATAGGTCTTATTTTCAGGGAAACAGGGTATTTGCAGGATTACTTGCTTCTAGTTAATGCATGCCACCATATCTGACAAGATGGTCATACTCTGGGTCCCATCTATTGAACAATGCCATCTGCTGGGACTCAGGAAATGTGCCTCGTCTATTACAAAATCTACCCTTTTGAACACCCTATCTTCTAAAATTTGTAGAGCCCTGCCTTTGTTAGTATTTTAGAAATCCTTGAAGACTTGGTTGTTCCTTGATCATGGGATCTGTTTGGTGAGGTGAGCCTGTCACTGTTTCTCTATTTTTATTATTAGAGTTGAGTTTATCTCGAGCGACCATTGCATTCATTAGTTTTATGGTTGGCTTTGGAGTTAACCTTATGTGCATGCCCTAAAGTTGCGATGGCTGATTATATAAATTAATGCAATCAAGTTCATCATGGTCATAGATAAATATCACTCATGTAGTTTGTGTAGTTAATTAAAGCTATAATCCAGGATGCTGTTTGATGAATGGAAACATCTGCAAAAAATGGATGCATTCCTAGAAATCATATTTGTTTGATGTTTTTGATAGAAGAGACAAAATGTTTTTTCTGGCAATTCTGCAGAGGTTAGTAGTAGTGGCCTGCAAATTTCCTCTTGAGCACCAGGCTGGAGCAACAAAGAGTTTCAAATTAAGAATCAGACAATATTGTCAAACAATATTGAGATGGAGTAGATCTCAAATGATCGAAGCACCAGAGCTCACTGTAACAGCATTGCCAAAAAAGCATTAAGAGTTGTTAACCTAATCTTGTGAAGCTTCTTCTCCGGCAATATTGTACTTCAAACTAGGGCATACAAAACCTTTGCTAGACCAATTCTCGAATACAGCTCATCTGCTTGGAATCCTCACTGTATATTGGACATTAATACAATTGAGCGAGTCCAGAGGTATTTGACGAGAAGAGTCCTCCACTCCTCCGCTCACAACAAAATACCTTATCCCACCAGGCTTGAAATTTTGGGCTTGGACAATTTAGAACTACGCCACCTACGGTCTGACCTAAGCGTAGTACACAAAATTATCTGCTACAACGTCCTACCTGTCAATAACTATTTCAGCTTCAACCACAATAATACACGAGCACACAATAGATACAAACTCAAGGTAAACTGCTCTAAAGTTGATTGCAGAAAATACGACTTCAGCAACAGAGTGGTCAATGCCTGGAATGCACTACCTGACTCTGTGGTTTCATCCCCAAACCCCCATAACTTTAACCTTAGACTGTCTACTGTTGACCTCACCCCATTCCTAAGAGGTCTGTAAGGGGCGTGCATAAGAGCACCAACGTGCCTACTGTCCCTGTCCTACTGTTCCCATTTATTTGTATCCTTATCCTTATCCTGTATTCATATTCTGTTTATACTTATACCTGTTATCTCATACATGTTTGACAAATTAACTAAGTAAATAAACAATTATTGCTTCCAAACAGGCTGCTTGGGGTGGGGGTGGGGGGTAGGGAGGAACAAATGTCACCAAGATTTTTTTTTTTTTTAAAGTTGCATGTTCATAACTTCATTCTAGATTTGAGAATCTTTTTTTTTAATGTTTTGCAGGATATGAACGATTATTCCCCAGTATTTAGCAAAACTCTGTACAGGGGCATGGTTGCTCCTGATGCGATCAAGGGCACCGTTATCACAATGGTAGAAGCAGAAGATCAGGACCCACCGGTAAGCAAAGAAAGGCTTTCTTAATATATTTTTTTATGCAAGAAGAATTTCTTTTAAAACCACATAAATGGATTTAATCCTCGGAACAATGGAAGTGATTACTGCATATGGATTTCACAGCAGTCGCTTTAATACTAGCCTATCCTGAAGCTGCACTTCAATTACTGTTTCCAAGATTGATAAACTACAATGCAAATCTTTTTCCCCCAAAACCAGAATTTTCCCCACTCTCTGGCCCAGGTTTCTTTTTGATGGAATAATTGCTGTTAGAAATCTTTAGTGGGTCTCAGCATGCAGATGGAACAGGGGATAAGCAGGAAATGCATTTCAAATAGCTAATCAGCTAGTTCAAATAACTCTGTAGTTCCAACAGGGAATAAATATTTTGAAGGGTTATTATGCCAGTGTTTTGTCATTTCTTCAAATCTTTCAGCAAGAAATGTACCTGTAGAAAAAGCCTAATTAAACTCTTTAAAAAAGGAGTGCAAGTTTTGACAACTGCATGCAATTAAGTATTTTCTTCCCAACAATGTTCACTTTTCAAATGCCGACACTGAATCGAAAGTGCTCTTAATGCTAAATTCTGACTTCCTTATCAAGGTACTGAAGATGGTAAGTAGTCAAAAATGTAATTTGAATTTTTAACAAGCAACACTTATGTTAGATTGTCAAGAAGGTTAATATTAATACTTGTTACAGGGGATGTTTTCATAATTGATTGCTAATGGGAGAATGTCATATTGATGGCATATATTTATTGGAAGACTGATATCCTTCCTATAAATTAAATGAAGGATCTAAGAAAGAGAGGGAGATTTCCTAATTTCTCCAATAGACAAACATTTCAATTTAATGACCTCTTCCCCCCCACCCCCAGTGTACAAAGTTACCATAATTTCATGATCACTGTAAATCTTTCTAAATATCTGGTGTAAGTTTCAGAAGTCAGAGGCAAGCAAATTCATAGATGGTGTCAAAGCCCTACTGTGAATTTATTACATTTCTGGTTGTTTGGGGTATATTTTTAAGATGGTAGTGTGAAACAGCCAGGATTCTCCAAGGTTTTCTGGAACAATGCGCACATTTGGAATTTTGAAAACATGTTTATTTATTTATTTATTTATTTATTTAATTAATTAATTTTATTAAACTTGTATGCCGCCCTCTCTCCCAAAGGACTCAGGGCTGCTCACAAGGATAAAAAACACACAAAATTCAATATTCAAATAAAAATATAAAAAAACCAATAAAATCCCCTTTAAAAAACCTCTTCAGTCCAATCCGGCCAGGCCAAATAGCCATGTTTTGAGGTCACGGCGGAAAAAGCAAAGGTCAGGGGCCATCCGGAGCTCCAGGGGGAGCTGATTCCACAGAGTAGGCGCACCCACAGAGGAGGCCCGCTCCCTGGGTGTTGCCAGCCGACAATGTCTGGCCGACAGGACCCCAAGGAGGCCTTCCCTGTGTGAACACACTGGCACTTTCACAAAATGGCTGCCAAGCTAGGTGTAATATTAACTACTGATGTTATTGTGGTCATTAACCAGCACAGCAACATTAATTGGAGAGCAAGCTTGATATAGTGCTGGCCTGGAAACCAGGAGACTGTGAGTTCTAGTCCTGTTTTAGGGATGAAAGCCAGCTGAGTGACTTTGGGCCATGCTCACCACACAGGGTTGTTGTTGTGGGGGAAATAGAAGGAGGAAGGAGTATTAGGCACGTTTGCCACCTTGAGTTACATATAAAGTAAGTAGTAAAGGTGGGATTAAAATGGATTAGAAACAGCATTGATACGTAGTCATAATGTAGAAGGATACCAAAGAATTTTCCTTCTTAGTTTACTATATTTATATTAAATACGGGAAGCCAACAATTGTTAATTTTCCAATTTGGAAAACTTCGAGGTCGTCCTCGATTTACAGCTGTTCATTTAATGACCATTCAAAGTTACAACAGCACTGAAAAAAAAGTGATTTATGACCAGTTTTCACACTTATGACCATTGCAGCATTGCAGCAGCACAGTCACTTATGACCGTGATTGTGTGATCAAATATCATGCCCTTGGCAATTGACTCATATTTATGACAGTTGTAGTGTCCTGGGGTCACGTGATACCCTTTTGTGACTTACTGACAAGCAAAGTCAGTTTGTCTAATTGAACTACTATTGTGCTTCACTTAACAATTATGGTAAGAAAGGTTGTAAATTTGAGGCAAACTCACTTAACAAGTGTTTCATTTAGCAACAGAAATGTTGGGTTCAATTGTGATCGTAAGTCGAGAACTACCTCTGTACACGAATAGAATAGAATAGAATAGAATAGAATAGAATAGAATAGAATAGAACAGAACAGAACAGAACATAATTTTTTATTGGCCAAGTGTGATTGGACACACAAGGTATTTGTCTTGGTGCATACCCTCTCGGAGTACATAAAAGAAAAGATACATTCATCAAGAATCATAAGGTACAACACTTAATGATAGTCATAGGGAAACAGTCAATATAAATCTTAAGGATACCAGCAACAAGGTTACAGTCATACAGTCATAAGTGGGAGGAGATGGGTGATAGGAACAATGAGAAGATTAATAGCAATGCAGACTTAGTGAATAGTTTGACAGTGTTGAGGGAATTATTTGTTTAGTAGATTGATGGCGTTCGGGAACAAACTGTTCTTGTGTCTAGTTGTTCTGGTGTGTAGTGCTCTATAGCGTCATTTTGAGGATAGGAGTTGAAACAGTTTATGTCCAGGATGTGAGGGATCTGTAAATATTTTCCCAGCCCTCTTTTTGACTCGTGCAGTATACAGGTCCTCAATGGAAGGCAGGTTGGTAGCAATTGTTTTTTCTGCAGTTCACAACTTTGATTGCATGGACAGTATCAGACCTCTAATATCTCTGGAAACGTTTATTTAATTAGAAGGTTATGGAATGGAATGTCCAATGAAAGAAGATTTGAGCCCCTTTCCCATGCTAATTTAACTTCATAGGGAAACCCAACACTAACAATTGGGGGAAACTGGTGATACGAAAAAGAATTTTGACTTTGGACCATCTCAAAGATGATGAAGATGAATTTTTAACATCAGCTATGTTGAAATATAAATGTCATTATGAGATGTAATCCAATGACAATATTTACACCTACAATATTGGTTAACTATATTGTTTGGACCAACAGCGTATCTGAGAGACTAGAACAATTTGTTAAATCCTTTAAAGCCCCCTCCCAACCCTTCTAATATTAGCTTTTTTATGTGTTATCAGAAAATCAATTTGATATGTGGATATTAAGAAATGACTGGAATAAAGAATCAGAACGTTTTATATTTCCTAGACAATGACTTAACTTCTATACCAAGAATGTCAATGAATCTTAAATATTCTAACAAGTGGGCAACATAAATTCATAGAAACAGAAAAAAATATGGGTATCAAGGAAAGCATTAGTTTTAAACGACGGATATTATGGTATTATGATTTGTCAAGATAGATTTCACTAGTTGAAACAACAGATAACATGCTTTCTCTCTCTCTCTCTCTAAAATATAGTTTCTGGTAGAATTGCCTTTAAACTATTTCCTGAACTGTAATCTATAGAATTATTCCACACAGTGGAATAATAAATCACACTTTGTGACTTATCTCAACTCCTTAGCTAGTTTTGGCAGAAGGCTCACAGACAGGCTAGATTCTTATCAAGAATCTTTACTAGAAAAAGAAGAAAACCCACACAAAAAGTTAACTGTCCACTTCCAATGAGTTCAAGTAGTTCAGATGACGTTTATATCTTTAGATTGCCAGCACTATGCTTAGTAGCCTTGAAGCCAGAGAAACACTAGATTCTACCTCAACCGTAACAATGGAAATATGTGTGTTGTTTTTCTGTAGACTGCAAAAGCGCAATGGCCACAAGCTGTGCTTATGTAGCAGAAAAAGCCACAAAACCTATAATAAAAAAAAAACTGATTCCATCACACACACCCTCCTTTTGCCATTAAATTCTAGTTTTGGGCAGAAATTTTTGGACACCTTTAACATTCCATTGATTATCAAATCATATGTTTTGATGTGTGGTTTTTTAGATGAGATCTAGAGATTGAGAGGCACCATAATTGTGCTACCTTCAAGTAATGTCTTCTTTTTTAAAAAAAATTTTATTTTCAAAAACACAAACAAAACAAAACATAAAAACATTATCATTCCATACAATTATAGACAGTGTATCAGTCGGTGGCATTTTTTGTGCTTCTCTTCTCTTCAATTTATCACTAAACATGCTAGCTTATTTCCAAAAGTTTCAACATCCATTTATATCATAATTATTTCCAATTCTTATTCTCTATCCATTGGTAAAATAAGTCCCGTATCAAATAATATTGTCTATCTTCCTGCTCTCTTATTTCAAATGTCAGTTTACTCATTTCAGAACATTCCATCGTTTTCTTAATAATTTCTTCATCATTAGGCAACTAAAGTAATGTCTTCTTGATCCAATCAGTTTGAGATAAGCAGAGTGCCCCATTCTGTTTTCTTCTCCTGTCTCATCTCAGCTTCCTCCCCATTAGATTTCATTTTACCCTGATTGATATTGCTAAATGCCTATGGTGATTCTCAGTCATCCAGATCATGGTTGTCTCAAAGGTATTTTTTTTCAAGAGGCAACTGGACTTTCTGGATTTTGTTTGAAGACGTTTCGCTTCTCATCCAAGAAGCTTCTTCAGCTCTTCTTCAGCTCAGAAAGTCCAGTTGCCTTTTGAAAAAAAGCACCTTTGGGACATATTGTTTATTGAAGCAGTACAATGTTACTGAAGGATACCATTTAACTCTACCTAATACTATCAAAAAGTTTAAACTTCAGAATAGTAATTTAATAGCACTCTATTAGCAGGTAGTGAAATTGAGCCATTAGGACAATCAACAAGAGCATGCATAATGTTCTTGCTTTATTTAAAATTAAATAAGCCTGGGGCTAAGAATGCTATTTTACTTGCGCATC